TATTTTGGTACTGGAGATCGAACTCAGGACCTTGTGCTTGTGAGACAGGCAGCAGAACCACTGAGCTAAGTCGCTGGCCCTATTTTATTTACTTTTAATTAATTAATTATTTTTTTTTGGTACTGAGGATCGAACTCAGATGTGCTTTCGAGGCAGGCAGCAGCACCATGGAGCTAAATCTCCAGCCCAGCTCAACTTTATTTTAAATACTGCTTTACATTCATTCATGATGTATTAAACCCTCTTAATTTTGACTATTTAAATTTTTTAAATTACTGAAGTCATGAGCTGAAATTTCCTCTCTGAAGAGGATGGATGCAATACAAAGACCTGAAGCCTCTCTCGTTCAGTGAACTGAACATTATTATGGAGCCTAGTGTGGTGCAGAGGAGAGGAGACATTAGGTAGAAAAGTAAAAAGCGAAGATTAAAGAAGGCTCGTTAAATCAATTTTAAAGGTGTATATTTGATGCCAGAGGCAATTGATTACATTAAAAAGATTTAAATGTAATCTGGGATGCTCACATCTGAAAAAAACCTGAAATCTGAAAAACAGTAGATGAACTCCAGACGTATTTAAGAAACTGAATCAACAGGAGTAACGAATGGACATTTCTGTGGCTTAACCAGCTGGGATGTGTGAGTAGTAATGTCTTTCCCTTGGAGAAGAAACAAAGGTGACAGTTCAGTTTTGGACGAGTCACATTTGGCAGTGCTTCTCAGGCATCCAAGTTCAAACATTAAGCAACCAGTTGGATGTACAAATCTAGATCTCAGAAGGGGTCTGCATTCAAAATGCAGATTTGCAACTATTTGTAGAAATGGAAACCACAGGGCTGGTGCAGAGGCCAGTTTAGAATGGAGATTAGGAATGTATATGAGAACCAAACTACCAAACGGAATCATTTTCTTCTGTAGAACTTTGAGCCTATAATATGACATGTAAACTGTAAGATTCATCCCGAATAAAGGTGGTGCCAAATCAGAAGGGCAAAAGTGCAAGGCGGTTGAGAATATTGGCAAGGGAACGGTTGAAATTAGAGCTAGAGAAGTCAGTAAACAAAAGAACTGGCATCTGGGTAGGAAGATGGTTTGAGGGATGAAAGGACTTGCGATTCAGTTAGGTTTGATGAATTGAGAATTGACAGTAATTGAGTAAGAGGGCAAGAAGAATGCAACAATGCTCTGATAGTGGCCTAAATTCCTAAATTTATAGGAAAAATATCCTAGATGATAAAAAGGCTTCTGACGGAGAAAGGGATGAGGAGATCAAGGAACTGAGTAGGAAGGGTATTTATAGACTGGTTATAGTGTGAACATTGAGCTTGTTCAGAATGATGGTAGCACTTGATGTGAAAAGGAAGTATAAGACAATAGGACAATATGTCAGACCGTTCAGTGCAAAAAATGACAGGTTCACAGACAGGGGTGATAAAAAGGGAAGGAAGTTGATGGCATGAGTGAAAGCCAAAGAGAGACCTTTACACAGGGGAAGTGGAACAGTGACTGGAAGCTGCACTGGGGGCTCAGGAGGATTCTCCCCCTCCTAAATAATACTGCACCCAGGGAGATGTCCCAGGGAGTGTAGCTGGGGATTGTAAATTGAAGCCTTTCAGAGAAATATGGGTAATAAAGACTCCATTGGAAGGTTCTGGGGAGATGCTGGAGGCAAATAGGGAAGCAGGCTCTGCAAACTAGAATATGTCCTTTTCTTAGATGAAACTCCTTACCTCTGTCCTTTTCTCTGTGTGTGTGTGTGCGCGCGCGCGTATGTACGGTGTTTTCTAATTCTGCTCAGCATCTGAGGTATCAAAGCTGGTGGACAACAATATCTGGATTAAATTTAAATTTGGTGGGTACCTTAGCTTTTTCATGCAAACTGTGTAAATATCTATAATAAATTCACTTCCTTTATGCTATTCTGAATATTTTAATTATTAAATTTCTATCTGAAAGTGGGAAGCTCTGTTATTATTGATCCTTTTAATATGATGTTGATACATCAACCTCATGTACTAATTATTTTCTTATGTCATTTAAGTAGAAACCTTTTTCTCTTTCATACAAACCATTAGGGAAATTCTGTATGACATAGGAAGTGTAAAAACAGTATTTTTCTTTTGTTTCTTTCAGTACCACCAAGTATTTACGGTTCTGATGAACTTGTTCAACTTACAGTCATTGAGGGAAATCTAATTTCTCTCTTGTGTGAATCAAGTGGTATTCCACTCCCAAACCTCATTTGGAAAAAGAAAGGTCAGTTTTCATCCCTGAAATTTATAAAATTATAAATATAAAATTTTTATTATTTTAAATTAACATATCAATTTATATACTAAATGCTAGACACCAACATTGCTTTACATTAAATTTCAACATGTAAGAGTTCTACACTAAGTAGCTGAAAATCTTTATTTTTAAAACTAACTGCTCCTCAGAAATAATCAATTTTCTGGATTCATTGATAGGCTTTTAATCAATATAAAGTGAGCAGCAGCCATGATTATCTGAGAATCCATCTTTCAGAGATTTTTTTTAAGATAAAGTTTAAAAACTATTTTCTAAAACAAACACTTTTACTGTATTTAAACAGTTTTACAATGGATGTTAACATTCTTGTTTGTGTCCACACTAAATATATCAGACAGATCATCTAAATTTTTTGTTCATCTGCATTTTGGTCCTTTTGTTTGTGTACTGCAGAGCAGGATTATTTCATAGGATTTTTAGACTTTTTAGGTACTCGAACTAGGAAGTAAATCCAAGTACATATACAAATGCTGTATACTTCCACCTCAGATTGTGTCATTCAATATTCTTTGCAGGCTCTCCAGTACTAGGTGACTCTGTGGGGCGGGTCAGAATGTTATCAGGAGGCAGGCAGCTACAGATCTCAATTGCTAAGAAGTCTGATGCAGGACTGTATACATGTGTGGCATCAAATGTTGCTGGAACTACGAAGAAAGACTATAGTCTGCAAGTTTACAGTAAGTTGGGCGCAGTTTTCTTTTCAAGCTTTCCAACGTTCCCTTGATTTTTTTTCTTCGTATCTTTAATATTCCTTCAAAGTAGTCCAGTTATACCTATTATATGATTAATTTAAATTGTGGTGACATAACCAGAGAACTTCTTTCTGGGTGTTATTTATTCAAGATGGCTGTTCACTCTGCCTCGGCTGTCCAGTGACAATATCAATGTTGCTGTATTTTGCTGGGTGCAGGAAAATAAATACATAGATGGCTGGAGGTTAGGACATTATACTATAGAGTATATTTATAATGCATAGAACATTTTATTTTAAAAATACTTAGCTTGTTTTAGATTTTAGAGTCCTTTCAGGTATTTACATTATCTCATTTAATCTCTACATGGGCTATAGTATAAGACAAAACTATTGTCTCTATTTTACGTATGTAGAAATCTAAGCTCAGAGACATTTCTCATGGCTTATGTGCATTAGGACTGTCACAAGGACACAGGATTACTGGGCCACTTTTCTTTCCACACACATATGTGTATGAGTGTTGGTCTAATTTTTGTTCTTGCAGTCAGTATCCACAAGGTGAATTCAGCTGCAAAGTAAAAGAATAACTGGTTATCGGTGGTTCAAAGAAGTAGTCTGCTTTCTCTCCTGATGAGAATATAATTTATCAAAAGTTAGAGAACAGCATTATTTTCTTACTGTGTCGGTAGCTTTATTTTATTTATTTATTTATTTATTTATTTATTTATTTTGGTACCGAGGATTGAACTTGGGTCCTTCCTCTTGCAAGGCAGGCGGCGGAACCACTGAACTAAATACCCGGCCTGGTAGCTTTATTTTAGATACAAACATAAGAGAAGAATTTTACCTCTCAATATAGTAATGTCACATCTATTAATCCTGTGTCTTTTCTTAGTAGTTAATATTTTGAGGTAAAAATGTGCCTAACATTGGCTGTTAAAACATTCCTGTGTAAGACCTGAAGCAAACACTTCCTACCTTGCTTCTTGTTATCTTTTTGCCCCCAGTTCGACCAATAATAACCAACAGTGGCAGCCACCCTACTGAAATTATTGCCACTCGAGGGAAGACTGTTTCCTTAGAGTGTGAGGTGCAGGGTGTGCCTAAGCCAACAGTGACCTGGATGAAAGATGGCCACCCCTTAACCAAAGGAAGAGGAGTAGAAATAGTGGATGATGGTCACATCCTTCAGCTGAAGAACATTCATGTGTCTGACACAGGTCGTTATGTGTGTGTTGCTATGAATGCAGCAGGAATGAGTGACAAAAAGTATGACCTAAGTGTACATGGTAAGTAGAAAGTGATTCAATAAGTTTCTTCATTGGTTGATATAATTTAGCATCCTGAATGAGAGATACAGACTTTGAGTATTGAGAGTCTTATATTTATAGCCCCTTTTCTACATATGTGCCACTTTCCTTTTAAAAAATTCTACTTTCTTATTACTCAAACCATGGGAATGTCAAAGCATTTATCCTTTTATGCCTGAATTCTTGTTACTTTTCTTGTTGTGACAAGCACATGTTGGATATGCTTTTAGGAAAGCACATAGTAAAGCAGAAATTTATCTTCTTCAAGTGCTTTTGGTTTAATGCTGACCTAAGTAAATCTCTTAATTACACATTTTCCAAATTAGCTGTCTTAACTAGGAAAGTATAAACATAGGTTCTTTACAACTTGCTTAATCAGCATCATTTGGGCACAAGTTCTACGGAAGTCAGCTTTAAGATTCTAATTAATGAGCCAAAAATGTTAATGGGAATAGACCCAACACACACATACTTGGGAACAACTATTTGGATGAATACAGCTGGAGGTAATTTTTAAATCTATAGAAACAGTGGTAAATTTAATAGACACAAATTAACCTGAACCCAGTTAAAACATACACAGGTATTAATGTCTTATAGTTTACAGCCAATGTATACATCAAAACTAAAGGATTCAGAATGTAAAAGAGAAAATGAATTAATTGTAAGTAATTTTGTTGTATTACTCTTAATTTTTAAGATCAGAATTATTTTCTAGAAAATCCTAATAAAATTTCTGATACATTTACCAGAAAAGAGGAATGACTCCTAAGAAATAGTTTATAGCTATTGAAATAACACTGTGAAAGTCATTTATTGATTAGAATGAGGACGAAATAACATTTTAATTCCAGAAATATATATACATAAATAAATATTTCATCATTTCTTGTTTTGCTTTCTGTTGATAAGAAAATGAAACCGTTACAAGCGATAAGCAGTTTAGGATTTGATATTTTATATAAATTAGCTACCTTCCTTTACATTTCTTGTTTATTTTGTTTTTGTTTGATAGTTCCTCCAAGCATCACAGGAAACCATGCGACACCGGAAAATATCAGTGTTGTGGAAAAGAGCTCTGTGTCCCTGACTTGTGAAACTTCAGGAATCCCTCTGCCTTCAATAACCTGGCTTAGGGATGGGTGGCCTGTCAGCCTTAGCAGTACTGTGAGGATTCTTGCAGGTACTAGAAATTCTGATAGTCTGGTTAGTTTCATGTGACCACAGTGTCTCCTTAAAGTTTCATTTTTAGTGTTTCTACTTTTTATCTAATGCTTACTATGATATCCACCAATCATATTTAAAAAATCGAGGACATAGGAAGCTATATGAGAATCAGGAAAATTTCTAAATATTTCTAGACTCCTATAAAAAAATTGACACTTTCTTATGACTTAAACCATCAGGCTGTCAAAGCATTCACAAAACAATCTAAAAAATGAAAAATTAAAAGAATTGTTGAAATTTGAATCCACTACAGTGACTCATGTTACGTATGATACCCCTAGACCCAAGTTTTTCAACTTATGCCTAACTAATCTGAATGATGTTTCTATTTTGGGGATGGGAAAGTTGCCTGTGACTTTGTCATTATTTCAACTTATTCTTCAGATAATTATGTAGAAAAACCCAAATAGCTTGTTCTCTATGGATCAATCTAAGCTTTGAAAGATGCTTCTTGAAGTGTGCCACAAAGAATATTTACTTGGTCTTTTTTGTTGTAAGAGCTTAAATACAGATGAAGAAGATAATCTTGCCAACTTTGTGGTTTATAAAAGGCTCAGCCCCTTAGGAAAAAATCGTAATATGTTGAATGAGTTCATTCAATTTCAAACATACCTCATGCTAGAACCTTGGAGTTTAACCCTAACAAAACAAAGGTTAAATAAACCCCTGTACTTACATCCAAAAACTTATACCCAAAAGGGTGAGAAATAGCTTCAGAATTGTTAATATGAAAAGAAGTCTAAATTGTGTTATTCAGTATTAACAGTCTAATATGGCTATCAAAAAGAATATTTTGTCACATTAGTAAATTATACTTTTCCTAATAAGCAAGAGATCAGCTTTACTCTAGACTTAGCAGACGTATTAGGAAGAAGAGCATTTACTCATAATATTTTCAAGAAAGCATAACTGTAACAATAACTGATGGCAAACTAATTAATATGATTCATTGTATCAAGCTTTATGGTATATTTGATACCTAATTAAAATTAAATATTTGAATAGCCATGGTGTAGAAGGGATTATTGTGAATTTGTCTAGTTCCAAAGGTTGGAAGTAATGAGTACATAGATGATCCTAAGAACATACATGGATCTGACTGCAAACAACTTTAAAAACTTATTTAGTTCTTGCCCAAACTCTGTTCAAAGAAATATTAAATTCCCAGTATCTAAGGCTTTTTCAGAAAATATCCTTTCCTAGTGCTGGGATTAGGTCTAAATAACCTAAAGTCCTTCCTTTCCTTCCTTCCTTCCTTCCTTCTTTCTTTCTTTCTTTCTTTCTTTTTCTTTCTTTCTTTCTCTTTCTTTCTTTCTTTCTTTTCTGCATTAATTTTATTGGTACATTTTAGGTATAAAATACAGTTACATTCATCATTGGGATCTTGTACCATTACATGA